CAAGTCTCGAGGGCTCCTGACTGTAAATTAGTCATAGTTAATTTGCGGTACCCTGGAGACCCGAGTACTATTTCCGAGATTGAGAACCTTTCCCTTTTCCCTGTCCCCCAATCTAGGCAGGACAATAGTCTTCTGAGCTGAGCCGGTGGAGAAGTTGGTCAAAGGTCTGAAAGCGGCCTTCAAAGGCGTCTTTCTCAAATAGATAAATCAAAAGCCCAAGCAGGAACAAGCCCTGTTCAGAGGCTAATTCACACAAAATTTTCCGTACCAGTTATGTGGCATTCCTCACTAGACATATCTCCAAGAATACAGCTAGATCAAGCGAATTGGAGATTGTGATAGTGCATTCTCTACGATGTAACCGTAACCTTAACAAGCTATGAAGATTCACGACTAAGCACAATGGAAGGTGAAATGGCTTAGAGATCAGTTGCTACTCAAAGGGACAAAGCCAAATAAGCACATTGCTTGGGAGGTGGAGCTCCAGTCTCCTTTCAGGCACGTTCAACACCCCTCTATTCTATAGGGAGAGAGCGAATGCCCGAGTCTACGGTGAGCAACTATTGGCACGTTTCGTTCTTTTAAGGAAATCGAGTAATCGAGGGCAACCCGGCAACCTACCGCCCAAGACTACACAAAGGCCAAAGCACTCAACATCCAAGGGAGCTTAGGCGCCCGGCGAGCTTCGCTGATAGGGGACGTGAGGAACACCAACGTCTGACTTCCCAACTTGTCCGAGTGGAGTTTGATCAGTCCACCTTGAGCCCTTGATCGTCGGTTTACGTCTCGAAATGGAAAGAGAAACAAGAGCCAAAATTTTGATCAATATCCATGTGAGTGTCCCAGACTGTCTTACTGGTGTATTCGATCTCGACTCGATCACAATGAAAACAGTTGGGCTAACCTAATTTAACAGTAACAACGATGGCAGAATATCGTTCGAGACTCCCGAACAAGTACAAAGACTCTACAGCCCATGAAGCATCGAACTACTCTGCCTTCCCGGTTGAAACGACAACCTTCGGAGTTGAATCTCGAAGACATATTGAGAAATATGGAGCCCGCGACCACTGGCCGGTTGCAATTTACCCCATTCCCAACGAAACCACATCTGGGAAGTCATAAAGAAAGCATCCTATGCTACCACCCCCTCCTAGCCCTCCCAAGGAGGGCTCAAATAGGAGACAACGATGAACAGCAATAAACCACTAATGAATCCCAGTTGTATCATATCCGCTTCGACCTTGAGCCTCAAAGTCAGCTCGTTTGTTATAACCGCTGCGTCCTTCCGTTTCAAACTCCTGTCGCTTATTGTAGCCACTGCGGCCTTCAGTCTCGAATTCCTGGCGCTTGTTATATCCACTTCGTCCTTCAGTTTCAAACTCTTGACGCTTGTTGTAGCCACTACGGCCTTCGGTCTCGAACTCCTGGCGTTTGTTGTAGCCACTTCGCCCCTCAGTCTCAAATTCCTGGCGCTTGTTGTATCCGCTTCGTCCCTCCGTCTCAAACTCCTGTCGCTTGTTGTATCCGCTTCGTCCCTCCGTCTCAAACTCCAGTCGCTTGTTGTAGCCACTACGGCCGGCGGGTTCGATGATCTTGTTGGTCAATGGGCTGGCGATGACCTGCGTGGCCAGGAGGCCGACGAGGATGGCAATGACTGAAGCACGCATGGTGGATGGGTAAGATTGTTATCTGCTGCATTGACAAGTCTTAGCAGATGATCGCCATGTCCGGATAGGAGGTACTCAACTAGTCAAGTCTTTTGATGTTGGGTTTTACTTGCGTTCCAGCGAATGATGGTCAACTTGAGATGATAGCCTAGGGATGGGTTCGAGGTCGAGGAAAGCGATTTATATACTTTTTTTAATCCGTCCCCTCTCTTCCGTATTTCGCTCAATAGATATGGGGCGGAATGCTCGACACTCCCACGAATCCTTGTACAGCGTGCCAAGATGCAATGGTGGTGACACATGGAATATAGCCGCCTGCTGTACTTCTCGACATCCTTCTGCTCATCAGCTCCCGCCCCCAAAGCTAAGCCGTCCTCCTTTTCTGGTAGTTTGGCCGAGAGTCCCCGACGCCACCATCACATCGAGAGAGGATCTACGGTAGGTCCATGTCCTCCCCTCACATTCCAGACAGTTGGCATCATTGCGACAGTAGATGCAGCGGCGGCATGCTTTCCGACCAACAATAGAAATGAACAACAAACAGCACAATGCTCCATCCTTCTCGGCCGTAGATCCGATCCCTGTCAGACCTTTTGTTGCAAACAGTTTACGCGACCCCCCCTTCCCGGTTGTTTAACACCCAGCAGCCCCGGGCGCAGAGGACAAATATGATGGGAAAGAGGGGGTTTGGGAACTACACCGGATCCAAATGCAAGTGATGAATGGACTGGTACCCTGGTACTGGAGGTGTAATAAATAAATTACGCAACCTAGGAAGGAAGCTGGGCAAGAAGGACCAAACTGTAATTCCAACACCTGCCCTATACTAACGTTCTCTATAAGGTGACACGAGAGGGGAACTTCATAAAGTTATCACGTCTCCCAATCCTATGCCTTTTGGGGCATAGTCGCTCCTGGGACGGATGAGGGGCTCGCATGATTCGCAGCTGCGCCACGTTCCTTCAGCACGACATCACACGGAAGAGAGAAGGAATAAAGAGATCTGAGGCTGTGGCTTCGGCCGTAAGCAATTCAGAGTTGCTATGTCGTCCATTTTAGGTTCCATGGGTCTTTTGAGCAGAAGTTCCAAACATCCCGCTCGATAGAACGAATGGGAGGACCGGTCTCGCGGGATCCCAGCACGACAGTGTCAAACTACAACCAATAACGAGTGAAACCACGCAACCCTGTGAATATCACAGGGCTGAACTCTCCGCAACCGGATGTGTAGGTGTGTCTCGTTCTTTGGACTTATTGGAACTTCCAGCTCCCCAACTCCAGCCCGTTAGAGACATCGAAGCCCATCCTTTGGCCCCCAAACATAAGCTGACGCCAGATGGTCTGGATATCGAATCCTTCCCGTCCTCGTCACAAACCAACCGCCAGAGAGCGGGCCAATAGACAGTCATGCCAAGCCAATCCTTTCAACTGATTGGTTGATTTCCTTAAATCTGGGGGTACGGAATTCCTTCTTCCGGTGGAACGACTGCAGAAAGTCCAATGGATAACACCCATCTCCCAGTGGCGCACATTGCCTCGGCCAAGGCTCGCTCGCTCCTGCTCTATTACCAATAGACCACCATGATCAGTCCCGAATCATGGACATTTCTACATTGAACTTCCAGAACAGCGGAACAGGGGTGATACATGGATGTTCCCCTATTCGTTACTACACGATTGCTATTTCTACCCTCCTTCGCTAGGTGCAGAGGAGAGCAGGATCTCACTTCGTGCGTTACACAATACCCCATGGTATCCGTGTTCCTCCCAGGTCCTTTTGTTCTCAAGCCACCCAATCTTAACAATGGATACCAAACAACCACGAGCATGCAATTCCGTTTACGTGGACATTACGTGATACTCTAAATAGTGTCGTTGAAACCAAGCCGAAGTAAAATGGTCGAGAAGAGGGAAGTTTGCTTGCCGCTGCGGAGGACTTTCCCCCAAGTTCAATTGTTAAAAGACATTGGCGGCACTGTTCTACATGGAAACAATGAGACCAATGCAAATACCAATCCAGGCCTGTTTGCGTCAAGGGTAGGGGTACCTGCCCAAAGAGTCCTTGCGCATTCCAGCGTCTCCCTGCATCCCCGACCCTCGGCAAGATACCCTGTCCCCCCACCCATGGCACTGTATCCTAGCTATGTGGTTCGGGGTTTCACTACCCATGAATAGAACTTGGAGATGTTTGCCCCTATTCTCCTCAACTTCCGAATAAGGACGCCTGTCCAAGCAGTTCCATTCCAAGACGCGGATTCTGAGCAAGGATCATCACTGATCTTCAAGAAGAGAACCCCAGAAGTGTGTATCTCAGTTGATCCGGCGGCTGGTACAGTAGTGTTTCCCCCCAACTCAGTTCAAGTATGCAGGGGAGGAATCCTGCATTAGGTCCAAGGGAGGACAAACATCATCACCTCATGTCACGACCACCTCGTAACAGCCCCAAGGAAGCCGCAGTCCCCATCTTAATTAGGCGTATCCGGTTGACGAGCTGATGAAAAGAGTCGCTGATCATTGACCAGATTCCATGGCCGAGTTGGTGCTCTGCCCCAAAGCGGAATCTAATGAGTTTTTTTTTTTTTTTTTCCAAATCACGAAAAATGGCTTGTCTGGGTGTGTTTCCCTTTGGGCCGGTTTTTTTTTTTTTTTTTTTTTTTTTTTTTTTTTGAACGTATCGTAGGGTCCGCCGAGAAATAAAACAAAAGAGGAAAAAGTGAAATCAACTCATGATAGTGGGAGCAAGCTGGATGAAGCCACCTGAATATCCTAGCTAAACTATAACAAGCCTGAGTCGAGAGAATGCTCAATTCTTCCTTGTCCGGACGACAACCCGCTATTACTACACTTCCTATAACTCTTTATAACTACCTAGGACGAGTGTTACCCGAATTTATAAGATCCATATGATATCCTAAAGATTTTTTCTGTTTATCTAGGTATGTCTGTGAAAAGTCAAGTGGCTGGTACCTCAGAAGATGCGAAAATGAGTCTGGATTGTTGATTCTACCTAATGATGGGCACGCGCGCCTTGCGCGCCCTAGAAAGAATATGAGGGTACGGAAGTACATTTGAGCATGAATGGAGAAAATAGAAACTGAAACCGATAGCATGAAATAGCATTGCGCAACTCGTGACAATGTCTCTCCTTTGTCATCTAACTTATCATCTGATTTGACCTCCTAAAGCAACCTGTGGGAACGAGTGTCATTGAGCAGGAAAGGAATTTCCTGGGAAGGAAACGAACGAACGATGCTGGCTTGGTTCGAGGTTCGGCAGCAGCTCCCAAGCAGGTGGCAGCTAGCTAGCCAGGCCGCCAACACAATCCTTTGTTTAGAAGTGAACGACCTGGGAACGACGGCGGGGAGGCTGGGGAGGCGTAGGAGGCGTAGGAGGCTGAGGGTGAGCCGGCTCGGGTGCAGGCGGGCGGTTCCAGTCGCTATCAGGAGACCAATTCGGCTGGGTCTCGTCCGGGTTCTTCGAATTAACAGCAGTAACTTGAACACGTCCCCTGAGGTTAGGGTACTCAGTCGTCACTGAAACCACCACTCGTTAGCTTTTTGGCCCCACCACAAGCAAACAATTTCACAGAGCATAACAATCACAACTTACTCCAGATCTTGCCCGTGTTAACCGGCTCATTCTTTGGCAGCAAGACAAAGGCCTCTCCGTACGACTCCTTGGCCATCGCCTCCGCCATCCGAGGGACGAGCTTGTCCTGCTCTGGACCGGTACCACACTCATCGATCCAATCGAAAAACTTGTCTTGTGGGAAGAGACTGCCCCAGTACTGGCCCCCAACCTTGGCGGCGTAGTTCTTAGCCTGCTCGTTGCTGGCCGAGCCGGTGTAGAAAACGCTACGCTCGCCAATCCCGGTGTTCCCACGAAGCCACTCCTGGATCGTTTCGACAGACGGGCACTCGCCGGCGCGGGCTTCGATGTGACCATGACTACTGGTGCTGGATGAGGAAGAGGAGGGCGCTGCGAGTGCCGATGAGATGAGGGCCAAGCCGGCGGCGAAGGCGGTGAAGAACTTCATGTTGGTGGTGGGAAAGATGTGTGGCCTAGAGGTGTTGTTTGAGGTGTTGGCTTGCTAGATGTTGATGATGGTGTTCATTGTAGGCTAATGGATAAGCGGTGATAGACCACTCTTATAGATAGGCATCTCGGGATTTTCCCAAACCTTTTCAAAAGTGATTCTGTAAGGCTTCATTTTCTTACTGAATCCTTTCCCTAAATCTCATCCGTTTTCTTACTAAATCAGCAGTCTTAGTCCATGTAGGGTTAGCCGAGAATGCACAGTCTTCTGCATCAAGGATTTCCAGAGTTTCTTGGTGATGGGCTTTGTTCATACGTCGGTGATGGGCTTTGTTTACTACGTCAGTCGCAGTCAAGCTGATGTAAAGGGGCGTTGCTTTTTTTCTGATCGGTGGTGGTCGTTAGGAACGTGTATGTATCTATATCGTTGAGAATACTATTCGAGAGCTTGATTAGCCGCCTTGTAAGGTATTGGAGCTGAGTGGTAGGGCTGAGTGTTGTGGGGGCCGTTTCACAAAAGGGGCGGAGAATGGGGGCGGGGCTGGTGATCAGAAATAGTAATATGATGACGGCGACACCAAAAATGTAGGGACGTAAGCTCGAGTTCTTAGTGCAGCAATGAATTCTGGGAGAGCACGTTGCTACTGTAATTTATTCCTTTGACAGCGGAAGTAATCACGTGATAAACTGAAGGAACTTGTATTTTACAAGCCATGCAGAACCTGTATTCATATTTGCAGCCTAAGACCAAGAGAGTGTCTATTTTACGTGGAACCCTACAGGTACTTGTTTATTATTTAATTATACAATCTTCCACCTTTGCTGGCATCAACTTCTCTCTTCTCCCCAACTTCAGAAAGAATCAAACGCAACTAAGCAACTATGGCATCAAATGTTCCCGACTCGCTAGTCGAGGCTGCCTCAGCCGGAAACCTCAATGAGCTCAAAAATCTCCTTTCTAAAACGCAACCACAACCTGTCGAACAGCACATCATCCAGTCTCTCCTCACAACAGCAGCCCACGAGTCGCAACTTCCAATCGTCGACTTCCTCCTCTCATCCTACCCCTCTGTCCTACTCCATGAGGATGCCGTCCGCGCGGCCGTGTACTCCGGTTCGGAGCAGCTTTTCGCCGCCCTTTACAACAAGGACCCCTCTATCATCAACATCCAGTTCGATCGTCGCGGCACCCCACTCTCGCTGGCGTGCATGAGCCGTCAGCCGCCCGACTTTCTGGCATTCTTGCTCGACCTCGGCGCAGATCCCAACCAGAACCCAGACACTAGCCCGTTCCCGCTAGCATCGGCGGCCGCGTTCTATAATAACGACGTGCGGCCAGCAAGTCTTCTGCTTCAACATGGCGCGCGACTGGCGCATTCTGGTGCGTTGGCTGCGGCGGCGGGGAGGGGCAACGTCGAGTTGGTGAAATTTCTGCTGGGCGAGGGTGCGAATCAAGAGACAGATCAAGTGGAAGTGGGCGACTCGGGGTTAGCGATGCATATTGCCGCGGGGAAGGGTCATGTTGAGGTTGTGAGGGCGTTGGCTGAGGCCGGAGTTGATCTGCTAATGAAGGATAGGGATGGGAAGACGGCGCTTGAAGTGGCAGAGGCAGCTGAGGAGGTAGACGGGAAAGATCGAGCACAGATCAAGAGAATGTTAGCGATGAAGTAGTTTCTCAGGTCCTGACGACCAGGGAGATCTGGATATATACGGTGACGCCTTCTTCGATAGGCTTGAGGGAACGGAGGAGCTTGTGGAGGATTCAACGTTTGTGGCACTTACAATCGTTGATAATGCCTATGTGGTATCCTTGATGGATAACGAAACTGGGTACGAGCAAGTAACTGATCTAGGTCCGGAAAAGCCGTCCACATATCTTGCTCTTGCGGTAGGTGGAGGGAATTGCTCTAATACCAACGATGTCGTTTCTGCCCCTTATGTTACTGATGCTGATGTTGTCGGTGTTGTTAGCGGGTTAGTTCTGCGGGAGTCTGAGGGCGCATCCGAGAGGATAGGGACGTGGGACATGGGTTACGATACCCGGGAATGAAGTTAGGAGGGGTGGGAGGACCAAACGTTAAGGCTGATTTAAGAAAAGTTTATTTTAGTCAAGGACGAAGATATATTTCATTGGTGTAACGGGCTAGGCCGTACAGGAGCCCGGGCCATCCCAGAGCTCGGAGCGGACTCGTAACTGTTCGGGATCGGAATTCAGTGCCCGAGCCAGCAAGACTGGGGTCCGAACAGAGCATGAGAAACTCTTTAACATCATCATCTCAACCCAACCAGGGTTCGCTGGTCGGGAATACATGAAACCAAAACACGCAGCAAATACACAGGCAAGCTTGTGAAGCCGAGGTAAGAGAGGAATTTTCATTTCAAAAGAAAAGAACAGGAAATCAAAATGCAGAGTCGTGTACATATTACCATGATGACGCCATTGACCAAATACAATCCAGCCATGTCCAATACCCAATGCCCACCCAAAATCCATCACACCAGAAACCCCGATCCCAAGCCTCCCGTAGAACCAATAGAACATCATAATACAAAGTACGAAATTGAAGAGATAGGTCCCGTCAAGGGGCCTCAAGCCTAAGAAAACACTGCCGCAATAACACTCATCGCCCCGCCATATATCGCGGCGCAAATCACCGAGTTCCTGGTATCAATCCCCAGACCTTTCAGATTCCCCGCCTGCAGCAGCGGGTTTAGCACGCCGATGGCCACAAGGCAGATAACCATCAAACGACCCAGGAGGCCTGGTATTGTTGGGAATGTGAGGATGGGAAGGAGAATCGAGACGGCGAGACCGGCGGCTAACGAGGGGATCGAAGCCTCGATTGAAGGGGTAGGAGAGGTGTCCTCGACCGCGCTGGGAGGTAGCTCGGGCGACTTGGTGACCTCGTCTTCTCCGTCGGAATGTGAATGGTCTCCCGGGAACTCTGCGGACGGGGGGTCTCCTGGTAATCGAGGCATGGGCGTCGGAGCGCCAGACGAGAAACACTCGCTGCGGTCGTAAGATGGAGGGGCAGGCCGAGCAATTGTTACCAAGTCATCGCTGACATCGAGGAACCGCGTCTCAATCTCAGTGATGGGCCGTTTCGTCTCTAGAAAAGATCGGTAGTCGTCGATTTCCGACTTGGACGGCGCCGACATGTTCCGAGTCTTTTCGAAGGAGGACAGTACATGATCTAGCAATAAGGATGTTAGCAAACACACGCGACGTCGTTCTGACTGAGAGCTGACAATAAGGTGGGGGGAAAAGGATGGAGGAGCTTGGGAGGTGGTTCATACTATACTGCTCCAACTTGAACCCAATCTTCCCCAAAATATCCGTCTTGTGCCACTGAAGCTCACCACCCGCAAGGTAATCCGACCTCCTCGACGCCGGCAAGATGCAGTTCTGCAGTCGTCTGGTCTGGGTATCAGCCGTGTCGAGACGATGCAACTGCTCCTCCATCTCAGCCAATTCATCCTGCAGGTGCAGCAATATGCGATGATTCAACGCCTCGAAGCGGCGGTACATCGGTTGTATCGTCGGTGACAAGCCGCCGGCGTAACCCGGCGACAGCTTAGACGCCAGGAGCTGGTATCCCGAGAGGGGAAGCTTTTCAGCTCGGGGCAGATGCTTCGCGTGGCCGAACTGGGAACCGAGGCGGGGCTGCAGCTCGTTCGGGGGAATGTGAGGTAGATTCGCTTTACCCCTGGGCATTTCGGGAGTACCGTAGCTCTTGGTCATGGCCGGGGTGGTGGCCTTCCTCGGGTCGGTGGCGAACTGGGTTCGGACGTTCGAGGACGGCGCCGACGACGAAAACGGTGGCGCTGCACCTGAGGAGTCGCCGTCAACGCTATTCTCGGGGCTGCTACTTCGGTCCGTCTCGTGGTCTCCCAAGGAGAAGACATCGCTTCGCATGGACGACGAGCCGGACGACGTGCTGCTTCGCGTGGATGGGGACTTTTTATTACCCGAGCCTGAACCGCGCCAGCGTGCTGTAGACTCCTCGATGGATCTCTGGATGGCTTCCACCGTGACGACCGGGGAGTCTGGCTCGAGGAAGTTGAGGGCATTTGGGCGACCGCGCTCGCGCCCACGCCCACGGTGAGGGTGTTGCGGGGATTGTAGAGGTGGAGGTGGAGAGCGGAGTGGTGATTGAGAAAGGTGCGAGCGGGAGGAACGGTTTGAATGCCTGCTGGCTTCTGTTACGTCGTCCATGTCGTCGGATGGTTCGCACATGCTGGAGGATGTCTGTCTGATAGTAGATCCGCTGCTGCTCGAACTCCCGGAGGTGCTCGTCTGCGAAGTCTGCGAGGAGCAGTTCGTCAGCGTCGACGTCGAAGAAGGGGACGGTGACCGTTCGATCTTGTCGCTTTCATCAATAACGCTCGGTTCGCAATCGTTCGTTGTCGGGGAGTGCGCCTGAGAAGAATCAAAATCGTCCATGACCTCCCGTTTAATAGCGGTCGTGGTCTTGGGAGACGTCGCATACTTTGGGCTGTTCGGCTTGTCATCTTGAATTGGAAGATGGTTCACTCGTCTCCGGACGGTCTCGGCAGTCCTACTAGGTTCCGACAAGTGGCAGTCGCCGGGCGCCGCCACGTGCATCTCTTGCTTAGGTTCGGTCTTCATTGCAGTCTTGGGTTCTAATTCCGGGCTGTACGAAATCGGAATGGGTCCGTCTGTGGTTGTGTCTGCAGCTGCATCTGCATCTGCATCTGGCTTTGGGTCTGCATCTGCGTCTAGGCTTGCATCTGCAGTCTTCTCGGACAGAGGTTCCAGTAGAGGTTCAGCACTCAGGTGAGGGGGGAAAGGGTCACGAGACATGTCCAATCCAGGAAGACCAGGCTTGTAATGTACACTGGATTGCTTGTCCTTTATTATTATTTCGTTCTCCATTTTCTGCCCTTCCCTCGTCCTTTTTTTAGCAAACTAGGATAAAGACAGGGTCTGAAAAGCAGACTAACTTGGGTGGCACGAACAGCAAGACTGGGCAATCGTATGGTCCTAACGATGACCACGACCGTTGGGCGAGAATATGCTCCGTATCTCGACGATGTATCCTATCAAACGACGACGCAGATGGTACGACGACGGGGGATTGGATGGCTTAATTGAGCCATCAACGGATGACGCTCATTAAAGCGGAGCCCTAATTAGGTTTCCAGGATGCCCGTGCCTGGCATGGCCTGAATGGGCTAATAAATGTCGATGCGAGCAAGATCCGGGTCGAGCTTTTGGGAGGAGAGGTGGAATTGAGGATCAATGATGTTGGAACAAGTCAGCGGGGGGGAAAGAGCAGCACAGCTTCATGTACCAAACTGACCTGAGACACGGAATATGATTTTGCCGTTCCATGGTGATAAAACACGGCGGAAACATGGCGGAAACCCGCGGCAGTCAAAGCACTGTTGCAGTACGATCAAAACACTCTCCAGGTACGAAGTACGAAGTAGAGACATGAAACATTTAAACATAAATCAGAAAAATCTACAACCTACAAAATATTTGAACTTTTCTTGAACTTCGCAATGAATATCGTGAATAATAGTAAAAATAAAAATAAAATCAATAAATTTGTCAATATTGTTTTTAAAATCATAGTTAGGATTATTTTATGAAACATACTTTACTTTGTTTCGTCGAGGAGCTCGCTTCGTCCAAGGCTCTCTCTCGTCAGAGACGGTAGTTCACGCTAGTTTCCTCCATTAACGCCTAACGCTGCAAACAAAGAGACGAACCCAAGATGGCAGCGGGTCTGTCTCCGTGATCAAGATCGACGTTAGCTTTGGTAATCCAGACGACGACAACAAACGACGGAATCCTTTGGATCCGCCCTCGTATAAGACCAAGACGTGAATCTGAAGGCCAAGGACAGGCGCGAGTTTATCATTAACGACGACTGCATCAAAGACTTGCCTACCTGCATCTGCGGATAGCAGCAACTGCGACGGTATCAATGATAGGTAAGGAGTTGCAGTCGAAAACAGCTGCTATATTTGGTTATTTGGTCCAAAAAGCAAGGTCTAAACACAATGGAGGTTGTTCATCAGCATCGGCAAATTCATGCTCTATTTCTTTTTCTCCTTCGTATCTAGTATAGAGCACTTCCCAACCTCAGTCCCTTGAGTAAGAGTCAACATTCTCACTCAAGCCCTCCTGCTCGTGGGATAGCCTGATTCTCTCAAGAATAGAGCCGTGGAAGACTAGCGTAAATGTTTTGGCGATTTACATCCGCGCCGGTGTGTTACGATTGGACAGACTAGACGAACTACGCGCTTAGTCTCTCTTGGTCCGCATCATGCTGGCTTGATAGCAACGGTTACACATTGAACAAATCAAGAGGTACCCCGATGTGATGAGTGGTGAGGTCATGGCCGTTGGAGTGGTTGTCTTGACACGGAGTAAGAAATATGAAACAAGTCCTCGTGGTCTCGGACTCTGGCACGACGTGGAACTAGGTCGTTTCATTTGTTTTTGTACCAGCAGAACCTTTTCTGGCGCTTACATTCCCGAGAGAAAGCAAAAATGTCCTCTTAAAGCATTCAGAGTATGTATTAAAACATTATCATTTCTATTAAAATGGTGATTATGGGTACCTATGGGGAGTAGAGCCCTCGAGTTCCACAGGTTTTATCTCGGAACTCAACTCCGCCTGTGCCCTCTGAGGGACGAAAGGGTATACGACTTGTTGTTGACCTACTTCAAAAATTCCGCTGTTGATCCCGTGGCGTAGAACCTTTCTTCTCACCATCCGCTTACGAATAAAAAGCCCAGCGATTATCAATATCACGACGCCAATAACTGATCCCACCACAGCGCCAACGATGACGCCAACATCTGGCCCGGACTTCTCCTTCTCCTGAACCTTACCATCGCCTACTTCAGATCCAGTAGCAAGGCTCGCGCCCCAATGACCCTTCCAGGTGGCCTCCCAATCTATACTCTCAGCGGCCGTTATGGATTCGTCATCGTCGCCGATATCGATCGGATCCTCTTCACCAGGCAGCGACGGCCCTGGCGCTTGAGCGAGGAACCACACTCCAGTTCCTTTGTGCTTCCAGTTCGCGCCGATGAACGCTGCCTGCATGAATGCTCTACCCAGTCGAAACTGAGTACCATCAAGGCTGGGAAGGCTGCAAGGGAAGTACTGCGTCGGCTGTTCCACAAGTGGGGCGGTGAGTGTGAGGTTCAGGAGTTTCAGAGGCACTTTAATCTCGGTGGTCTCGGTCGGTGAGTCGCTCAAGCGAAATTTGAACCCCAGATACGCGGATGAGGTGAGCTTCCCGAAGTCGTTGTCGGCAGTATCCCAGATATAGAGACCAAGGTCGGCATTGAAGCTGACAGGCAAATGGGATGCAATAGCGCGGCAACTGCTATCTGGAAGGTAGAGGTACGGTTCTTTCGGGTCAACCTCGACACGGATTCCAGAGGAAAGAGAAGAGTTTCCTTGTGAAAGGAGTCCCGTTTTGGGCTCGCTGCCAAGGGGTGAGGTTCCCGCTACCGCTTCTCCGATCGTAACATCCAGGAGATCAATGGGAAACGCGTCATGACTGTACTCCTGCACAGACACAGGGCCAATGACCCGCGACCGATCATAACCTCCGAAATACAGCGACCCCGGGATCCCGGCAGCCGCAGATCCGATGTGTAGGCCGAACGAATTCGACTTTGTTCGTCCCTTTTCATACAGTGCACTTGAAACAAGCGTCCCGTTATGCCCGTCGCCAAGTGTCATATTATGATCAGGGGCACCGAGAGCGAGGTTACCCACTCGAGCCGAGTACGTTCGTCCGCTCGGTAATGTCTTGTACCCCCTCGTGACGACGAGTGAGCTCGAGCTCGTGAGCTCGATATCGGCCTCTGGTACGAAGAGTGTGTCATAGACAAAGCCGGCGTTCCCATGGAGGGTTTGCGTTCCGTGGAAAGTCTCGTCGACAACCTGGAGTGCATTGCTGATGTTGACGGCGGTTTTGGAGGATTCAGGCCTGTAGAGACCAGCTTCTCTGGCCGAGCAGATCGTTCCCGACTCGGGCTGGTCACATATTTCTGGAGAAAACAGGACCGAGAAGAAGACTCCACCAGGGTAGGCGTCGATCTGGGTTGCGGGCTCGCCGAATTGGAAGCGGACGGCTTGCCATGGGCCGTCGGGGCCGTATGATTTAGGGGACCATGGTATGGATACAGGAGCTGGCTCCGCTCTTGTTAAGACTGGGGAGACTGACAGTGAGACAAGCCATAACAAGGCAAACATATCTAGAGAGTGGATCCGAGAAGCGTAGGAAGATGGGGGTATTATGGCGATGAAACAAGGGAAGGAATTGAAATTTTTTCAGAAAAGACAGAGGGGGAAATTCGAAAATCGAGCAGAACGAGAACCAACACCAAGACGCAGACTGCAGGGATCAACATCTTGGCGGCTAATTGCAGCGGCCATGCGGAGTCTGGAAGCTATGTGGATATTTGATCCTTCCAAGACCCTCTCGACTGCCTTCTTCCTCGGTAATTCGGGGTACAAGTTAAATAACAAGAACGCCGCCGGGTCAGTATTTGAATTTGGCCGTCGTCGACACCGCGAACTGCTCATGTTTTCGGTTCCTTCCTCGACGTGGTACGTGGCACCAGGCAAGGACGGGATTCTGATATGAAGCTCCAAGGGAATGTGTGAAGTGCTTCGGGGCAGGCTGGACTGAAGGAGCGAACGTGGTCAATGGCCATTGTGAATCTGGTTGTAATTCCAGAGGAGACCCCCCACGGGAAAAGACAGGGGCTGTCCGCAGGCGCTTAACCCCTGGCCCAGTCCAACCAAACAGAAGCCCTCGCTTTGTGGAGATCTGCAGAAAGCAGATTGTCATTGTGCGACCAATGCATGAATGCGTCGGACTAGGATTCGCCAAGAGATTGGGAAACGAAACAAAAGAACCTGTTCCTGGAAATATCTTGACACCCTTCGTGGTGTCGATGATCTCAAAACCAAGCAACAAATGAATCCCACGCCGCCCCCGCCGAGATAGTAACGAAATACACGCGAGATCCAATTGCCAGGCGCTGTGAACGAGTCCCGATGACGCCCGTCGTATCCCGCTTCGTCTGTCTTTCCTCCCTTGCCTTGGTCGTGATAGCACTGCTTGTAGTGGCCGGCCGCTTGTACACGCTAGACGATTTCATCGGCAGGAGCCTCGCTGCGCCCTTTTCAGGACACTCTGCACCCAAGCCTGCTGAGCACGACTTCAATACCGACGCCGGCTCCGACGCTTGGCTCCCCTCCGAGCCCGATACTCATATCCCACCCCAGTCAGCGTCGGCAGATCTCACTGAGCCCCCGCGAGCCCTCCCCTCAGAATACTACGATCTTTCCGAAGACGAGAAGCGATGCCAATTCTTCTACGGCGAGCCATACCTTAGATACCTTGCCGAACACCAGAATCCCTACTGCGAGCAGGGCTCCGAATCGTCCCTAACATGTTTCCACGTAGAAAATACCAACCCGATCGGCCAATGGGGGACGGACCGAGTCTGCCTCGCGCGAGGCGTAAAGTTCACCCCTAGTAGCAGTAGCTCGTCCAAGTTCAGTCTAAGCTGCCAGCGAAGAAACTTTACGCGCGAGAAGTTGGAGAGCGACGAAGCGGCAA